GGAATCGATTAATCCGAATCAATCACGCGGTCCACAGAGGATGCTGTGCTGATTAAACGCACTAACATATCGGACCATGCCAAAAATGTCGTGATCATTAGCGAGATTAAAAAGCGTGATTTGTGCCTAATTTTGGATGCGGTGGTGCCAGCTGGTGCCATGCGGGCAGCGTCTCCGAGGCGGGCCGGGCCCCGGTGCACACGGCCCCGGGTCCCGTTTGGGGCCCGTCACACCGACATCCACGGAGCAGTTTTTGCACGCTGGGCTGGGGGGTGAAGACCGGGGTCTTGTCCCTCTGACACGAGAGGCCCTGGCTCTCCGTGGGTGTGTGCCCGTGTTGGCACGCATGTCTCACTCGCAGCAGTGCTCGGTCAGGTGTGGGTGACCCCTGGCGCTGGCCCCTTTAGCGCCTGCGTTTGGGGTGCGGGGCCTGCCCTGGGCCGTCGGGGTGGCTAGAAGGGGAAGGTTCCCGGGACAGGTAGGGCGGGATGGGGGCACTGGGAGGCGTGTCCTGGGGGCCAGCAGCCATGGGGCCTTGCGTCTGGCTGGACGTGGGCTGTGAGGCTGGGGCGGGGCCGTGTTGGGGTTTGAGGGCGTCCTCGCCCTCCTGGGGGTCGGAACCAGTGAAGACAAAGACCAAAGACTTGGCCCCGGGGTGGTCGCACCATTGCTTACTGACGGTGACACCTTCCTGGAAAGTGAGGCCTGTCCAGGCACCCGTGGTGGACACCGGGGTCAAGCAGACCTGCTGCTGGGCTCTGGCCACGCAGTGCCCGCTGTCCCGAGCTCAGGGCACTCGGGCCCCCCGAGGGAAGGCCCTGAGGAGGGACAGGCCACTCATCGTGCTCCTGGGTCGGGTGTCACTTCTCTCGCTCACAGGAGGCCCGAGCTGGGCCTGGGAGGGCCAGGGTCGTGGGGGCCTGCCTGCGTGGAGGGGAGGAGCGGGTGTGAGAGCCCACCTGGGTGAGGAGTCCCAGCTGGCGTCTGCGTGGCGGCGGGGGCTGCCGAGCCGCAAGCAGAACGAACCCACGGGACACCGTACCTCGGAGAGGGTCACGCGCAGCGTGCTGCGGCTTCGGGCAGCAGGGAAGGGGCTGCGGCTGCAGGGGCTGTTCCCGGAAGCAGCCGTGGGACAGTGTGGCCCAGGGCCCGGGCCCTGGCCCTGGCCCTGGCCCTGGCCCTGGCCGTGAAGGCGAACTTGAGAGGACCCCTGGTGGCGGAGTCTCTGTTATGGTCTCCTCTCCCAGGGTGTGTGCGTGGGGGCGGGGAGACACACGGCAGAGGGGTCGTTGGAAAACCCGGAGAAGCGGGGTGGGAGGTGGGGGCTGGGGCCCAGGCGGGGCCCTGTGGACCCAGAGGCCTCTGTCCATTTGGGGAGCCGTGAGCGGTGCCTGGAGACGGAGTTCTAGAACTCGGGGGGTCGGGCTGTCCGTGCAGACGTGGAACTGTTGGTGTCGGGGTGGGGAGGGCGCCCGGGGAGCGCATGGAGCCCGAGGAGGGGCCGGAGAGGCAGCCCGGGGGCCCCCTCATGGAGCAGCTCCAGGCCGGGAAGGAAACGGGGCCCCCGGGTTTTGGAAGGAGGGGCACGCGGGACCGGAGGGGACCGGCAGGGAGGCCCAGTGCGGCCCAGGGCGCAGGTGAGACGCCGCCTCCAGACAGTGACCCGTGGCCGTGGTAATGGCCGGCTCTGCCCCAGGAGGGGCTGCGGCCGTCGGGAGAACAGGGGCGGGGGCGACAGGGGCACGGTCCAGCCGCTTTCGAGAAGGCTGATGGAGGAACGGAGCTGGAACGGGCCCTGGCTGAGCCCCGCTTGGGGGCCGGCCCCCAGGCAGGGAGGGCCTCCTCTCCCGCTCACCCGCGGGAGGTTGGAGGGCCTGGGAGAGCGAGGGTCAGAGCCGAGGGGCGCGGGCCCCGGCGGCCCCGGCAGCGGTGGCGTCCCCCGGGGACGCTGGCAGGGACGGCGCCAGCAGCCGTGGAGCCAGGCCGAGTCTGAGGCCTCGCACCGCTCGGCGAAGGGCGCAGGTCCCCGCGGACGCGACGGGGACTCCAAAACCGTGGGGACAGTAGGTGTGTGACCCACCTTTCTGGTGGCTTGCATTCTTGAGTGGACCTCAAAACCGCAGAACGGAAGTGCGTGCAGGAAAGGTGTCACAGTTGACCTGGAAGTCGCCGCCCGGGTCAGGCGGGGGCCCTGGCCGCTGGCGGTTTGCCTGCTGGTCCTGAGGTGTGTGCAGCGCAGTTACCGACACAGCTGAAGGGGGAATTAAAGGGCGCCTGTTGAGTGTCACCCGGGTGGGGTTCACGGTTGAGGAGGGACTGACCGGGACGCGTCACTGAGCGTCTGTGTGGGAGCATCGGGGGCTGGAGATGTCGGCGAGTCCGGTAACCAACGGCGACCGCCTGCAGCCGGCGCTGCTGACACTGTGTCACCCTGAGGCGTCCCTCGCATGGTGGCCTCACAGCACGGTGAGGCACCAACACCGAGAACACACCCCTTCTCCGCGACCGGGGTTTCCTGTCTCCTAAGAAACCTCAGGTGTCCGTGTTCCTGTTGACGCGCTCATTCCCTCACGCGTGTTTGTGTGAAACACGTGACCTCGTTTGTCCACGATCCAGTGGAGACAGAGCTCGTGATCGTGAGCGTTGCCCGGCCAGGTCGGTCTGGGGTGGTACTTGTTTTCAGTCAATCCGGTAGCATTTAATGTTCTGAGCGTCCTGAGTGGATAATGATCCCAGTTGCGAGAGAGCGCCCCCCCCGCCCCCCCCCCCATTTCCCTGCCTCATTCCAGGGGCGGGGCCTGCCCACCGGCCCAGCCCATCTCACCCCCTCTCCTGTCTCCGGAATCCACCCCGGCCTCTGGGAGGGCACGAGAGGGCTGGGCCGCGGCAGGACCTCGGAGGGCAGGGGTCGCGTCAGCTCTGGCGCCCCGACACAGCCCGTTAGACCAGACTTCGTGCGGCACTGGACGCGCGGCTGGCCCCACCGGGGGTGCTCCGAGCGGCGCGTTGGCGGCTGTCCAAGGGTGGTGGCTCCCACTCCCCGCCCTTGTGGCTCTTCGTCGTCCCGTGGGGCAGGTGCCAGGCCGGACCCGGCGGCCGCTCCGTCCCCTGCTGGCCCCCTTCCTCGTCGTCGTCGTCATCCTCCCGTCCCGCGTCCAGGTGCCTTCAGCTAGGTTCTCCCTGCCCCTGGGGGTCGCCCCGCGGCCCGCAGCAGCCCAGCTCAGAACAGCGTGGCTGTCGGTCACTCTTCTCCTTCCAGCTGGGCGGGGCCTGACAGGTGGGGGGAAGCAGAACCCACGTGAGCGCAGGTAAAAACGCCCCCGGTCACGAGAGGTGTGTCCTTCCACTTCTGTCACAAGAGGTGCCGCCGGCGCCCGGTCACAGATGCGGTGCAGCACAAACAGGCGGGCGGACTCCAGCCCCTGCCCTGCGGCTCAGGCCTCCTGCGACCCGTGCATCCCGCCGGTCCCCTGCCCCGGGGGGGCGGGGCTCGGGGGCAGTCACCCACACGGTCTTGAGTCCGACTTAACCCCCTGTCGGTCTTCGGGAGGCCGGCGTGCCCGCACGGCACACACCTTGCCGCTGCGGCCATCTGACCCTGCATCCTGTTTCCGAGCGCGCACAGCGATTTATAAAACACTCCAGCCCGCGTCCTCAAAGGCCCCAGATCGATACGCCAATGGTTCTGAAATGACAGAGTGCCGCGCGGCTCCTCTGTAATTTAAACATGATTAGCTGATGAAGGCTCTGGTCAATAGTACGCCGAGGGAAGATAGATTAATTGATACCAGCCTCTCGGGACGGCAGGAGGCCCACTGGAGGTGGGCCGTCCCTGACGAAGCGGCCGCCCGGTCTTGGGAGCCATTCCTCCCGGGGTACGTTCCCGCTTAGTCACTTGCACACTGTCGTTCACTTACACGGGAGCCGCGTGCCCGGGACAGACCCGCCCCCCCCCACCAGAGTTGGGAGCGTTCGGAGGCGGCCAGCTGTGGGCGCCCTGTGCGCCCCTCCTGTGTCGCAGCCTCTCGTGGGGGACAGCGTGGTGGGGGGGCGTTCCTCTGCGTGGGCGTCGGCAACAGCAGCAGCTGCCCGGCCAGGCCCAGAGATTGAATGTCGCTGCACTGGGTCACGGCTGGTCCCCAGAGACGCGCAGCCGCTCTGCTGTGGCGACACCTACCGGTGCAGGCAGAGCCTCCTGGTCCCCGGCTCCTCTCCCGTTAAACCCGGGGAGCTCCGCCAGCGCGCCTGCTCGCCAGGAGGAGTTACGGCTGGTTGCCTTCAGCTTTGTATTGATTGAGATAAACTTCCGACGTGTGTAGCAATATATTTAAATAAAAAAGTCTTTGAGGTAATTACACGTCTTTGGATATAATGCTGTGCGGTGGCTTGTAAAGTTAAGAGTAATTCTGTAGGCTATTCAGAAAATAGATTTTTGATTTTTCAAGGGGGCTTGGTTCCATTACCCTGTCTTGTGTAGGATTATTTTTTTGCTGCAAGTAACGGGGGCGGGGGGGGCGAATTATTAGAGTGATTTCAACAGGACAGAGGCGCATGTGTTTCTGTCTTGAGCCCGGGGTTTCCGAGGCGGCCTGGGCGGGGCTGCGGACGGAGCCAGAGCCCGGCTCCTCCTGTCTCGGGGACCCCCGAGCCCGGCTGGCACCCACGAGGGGCCTGCCAGGGCCCGCCTGTGTGCTCTTGAAGGCACATGGCAGAAAAAGAGGGCAGAAGTGGACTGAGGAGAACCCCTGGGCCTGACCGTCTGCCCCCCCCCCCCCATCACCCACTGCTGGAGCTCGCCCACCTGGCCACGCGGAGCTGAGGTGCAGGAGAACAGGCCGACGGGCTGCGGCTGACGGCGCATGGGTGCTGGCAGGCGCGCACCCAGCCGGGCGTCGGGGGACTCTGGTACCACGTGGGGGTCGTTCGGGGGCTGCAGGGGCCACCGGGCCCGGTGGTTGGAAACCAGCCTCACGCGGGTTCCTCTGTCTCCCGCCCACTAGTCGCCCAGAAGATCGTGGCCACGAGGAAGAAGCAGCAGCTCTCCATAGGGCCCTGCAAGTCACTGCCCAACTCCCCCAGCCACTCGTCCGTCTGCTCCGCGCAGGTGTCCGCCGTGCACATCAGCCAGGTAGGTGGGGGCCCGAGGGGCTGTGCCGCGAGGCACGCTGGGGCCGCGGGGCGCGTGCCTGTCCGCGGCGTGGGCAGCCAGGTGGATTTCCTTAAGCTTCCAACTTCCTAAAGAACAGCGTGCTGGGGAATGGGCTCCACCCCTGGCTCAGAAACAGCTGAGGCCGAGTGGTTTTCGTGGGGGGTCCCGAACGTCTCCTGAGGGCACGCGGCCCGTGTTGTGAGGCGTGCTGGCCGAGGGAGGGGCAGCGGAGCGTGCGGTCGATTCCCACAGCCCCGAGTCCCCCTCCCCCGGCCGCCCACGGGAGGGACCGTGGTGGGGGTGGGGGGATCCGGAGCTGCTCCCACGTGCACCCAGGCTGGGATCCCCCACTCGGGAGTGGCTCTCGGTGATAGTCACCACGTCCCTGAGGCCCTGCAGCAGCTACCTTCCGTGGTGGCGTTTGCTGGCCGGCTGGCTTGGAAATAAACAAAATCATTGTCACCTGGGAGAGTCCAGCGGATGCCTCTTCGGGACACGGGGCTCGTGCTCCTCCCTGCACGTGTGCTGCGATGCGGTTTCAGGGGCAGGTGGGGCGGGGCGCCTCGTCAGGGGAGGGCCACGGGGGGGCCGCCGTCCCGGGAAGTGGGTGGGCGGCGCGTTTTAAGCAGCGCGCTCACAGCAGCAGCCCGCGGGGCAGCGAGCGGTCACGGGCGTCCGAGGCTCCTCTGACTGCGGGCCGGCCGCCTCTCGGCATCGGGCGGCGGCGGCGGAGCCGTAGAGCCAGCTCCTCGTTTTCAGAGGGAAGAGGTCATCCCACTGAACTTTAAAGCTTTTTGCAATTACGCCACAGATTTCTTAAGGCGCTTCTCAGGCCCGCCGACTCCGGGGGGACCGGGGTGTTCCGGGGCGAAGCCGCGGGTGCCCGGTGCTGCTGCTCGCGGCAGAGCCGGGGAGCAACGGCCCGGCCCCGGCCTCGGCGGCGCGGCCCGTGTGCGCGACCTGCGTGGGGGTGGCCCTCGGCCGCTGCCGCCGCGTGTCCCTAACGCGGCCTTGGTTTCGGGCCCTCGCAGACCAGCAACGGGGGCGGCAGCCTGAGCGACTACTCCTCCTCCGTCCCGTCCACGCCGAGCACCAGCCAGAAGGAGCTGCGCATCGACGTGCCGCCCACGGCCAACACGCCCACGCCCGTCCGGAAGCAGTCCAAGCGCCGCTCCAACCTCTTCACCGTAAGTGGGGCTCCGCCCGGGGGTCGTCAGCGGGGGTGGGGCTGACTTGCGTGGAAGTCTATGGGAACACGGTGGGGGGGGACTCACAGACCCAGGGCGTGAGCAGGGCGGGCGCGACCCGGGCCGCAGGGAGTGCTGACCCGTGTGCCAGACATGACGTGTGAGGGGTCTGCACCGAGACAGCTGTGACCCCGTGGCGCTCGGGGTCCCCAGCCAGGGCCCTGCCGCGCTGGCCACGAGAGCCGACAGAGCCCTGCCCAGCCCCAGACGTTTGTACCCGGCCTTTCCGGGGGAGAGCGGCCGCCCCCACGGCCGGCCCTGCGGCACTCGCCTCGCAGGTGCCAGGCTCGTTGACGGCCAGGCCGCCCACCTGCACTTCCCTTCGGAGCCACCTGCGGGGCACCTTAAAATGGCTGACCGGCCCTTGGGGCTGAGGCCTAGGGGCTCGGGGCCCCGGTGTGGGTGGTCGGGACGCAGCGGACTCGAGCGTGCTGCCTCCCTGCCCCGTCCCTCGCCGCAGCAGGTACCACTCCTTGGCCAGAGCCCAAACTCTGCTCCAGGCAGATCCGTGACCCGAGTCACGGGACGTGAGCGGCACAAGTGTCTCCCCGGGACCGGGTGGGTGCGTCACATGTTGGTGCTGTTGAAGCAGTCGTCTCAGCCTGGGGGGCCCTGTCCCCAGGAGACGTTTGGAAACACCAGGGGCGGTTTGGAGCTGTCCGAGTCGGGGCTGGGGCAGGGCCCGGTGCTGCGGCAAGAGGTGACCAGCTCCGCGCCCTCGGGCCCTGTTCAAACTGGGCGACTTCTCTTTCGGTTGGTTACTGCTGATGGTGATGCAAAGTTCAAAATTCAGTATTTCGGGGCCTGACTAAAGGTGGGCTCTGCAGGGGCAGCTGGGAGTCTGCCCTCTGACCTGCGGCCCTGCCGTGGGGATGGTGTCGATGTGCACGCGGCTGCCCAGTGCGGCAGCTCCGCCCCTCCCCCACGTCCGTGGTGGGTTTCCCACCGGGCAGCGCTCCTGCAGCAGCGCGCCCCTTTGCTGCGCCCCGAGGCCCGCACCACGTGAGCTCGTGCTGTGTGAGCTCCGGCAGACACTGCCACTGGAGGGCCGGAGGGCCGGCAGCGCAGGCCTGGACACTGGGCTGCTCTGCCTGCGGCTGTGAGACCTCGGGCAGCTCACTGAATCTCTCTGAGTTGGGAACAGCGGTGGTGGCGGCAGCGGCGGTGGGGCTGCCGGGAAGACTCCCTGGCGGGGCGGCGTCTCTGGGCCTCACTCTGGTTCTTCCTCACCACTGCTGACGCTGGGCAACCACCGCTGACGCTGGGCAACCACTGCTGACCCCAGGACAGGGGCCACCGTGGAGGGCCGAAGGGAGGGGCCCAGCTCTCCGCAGAGGACGGCGCACGGCCGGTGGGGCGGCGTGCGCACGGGCGAGCTGCTCTCCTGTGAAATCTCTCCAGACGGGCCGCCGGTGACAGAGCAGCACCCCCTGGCTCATCCCACCCTGACTGCGCTCGTGGGCTCCAGGCGGGGAAGGCATCACCTCGAGAACGGGCTGTGCCTCCCTCGTGACTCAGCAGACTGAGGAGCATCACCACCCAAAGATGGGGAGGGGGCAGGTGGGACACCAGTGCGGTGGGAGGGCGAGGGCCCCGACCGTGGACTTGCCCGGAGTGTCTTCCGTGTCTTGGCCACTCCTGCTCGGGCGCGGCGGGAGGGCAGGACACCGGCTCAGGCTGCCGCCCTGGGGTGCGTGGCCAGCCTCGGGGAGAGGGAGGAGAGGCCGGAGGCATCTTTTAAAACCAGGACTGTCACTAGGGGAGCTCCAGTGTGTCTGTCCCCGCCTGTTCAGGCAGCTCCAGAGTGTGCCAGAAAACAGTGTCCCCGGACCTTGCCCCTGGGGTGGCTGACGAGAGAGAGCTGGGGGGCAGGAAGCAGCCGAGTGACAGTCATTCAGTGAACAGGTGTGTGCTGGCCCCGGGCTGCCTGCGGGGCCTGGTGCTCGTGGGCGTGGACCCCACATGCAGGCGAGTTCGGAGAACGCAGGGGTCGGGGGAGAGCGGCTGGGTGGGGCCCCCTCGGCTTCCATCCGGGAAGGCGCCGCAGGTGCCGGAGCCAGTGAGAATGCCTCCTTAACTGTGTCACGGTGAGCGTGGCTGGTGGCACTGAGGTCTGGCCCTGGAGCAGTGCCTTGGGGGTGCCGTTCTCGCCATGAGACGCTGGGAAGCTGCGTGCTTGGGAAGCGCTTTAGAGATCGCGTCCAGCCGCCCCATAGATGCTCACAGGGACGGGGTCGGGGGCCATGGGGGGGCTGCGATGGGTTTGCTTCTTGGCCTTCAGGAAGCCGCTGGGGTCCTGGGCGTGGTGGTCAGTGGCCTGACTCGGGCAGTGCCCCAAGGTGGCAGTGGCGGCGAGGGGTCGGCACGTTTAGGCTGGAGTTCTTCACCACAGCTCCACTAGGTGGCAGCGTCGGCCAAGGGACGGAAAGGCAGTTGGTTAATTTCAAAATTGTAGCAATTAAGAAACTAAACTCCCATTGTTCCCAGGTGTAACCTGATCTCAAACACGTGAACTCTCAGACTCTTCTTCCCTGGTTATTATCGGTGGTCTTCTGGTCTCAATTGGCAAAAAAAACACATTTATATATGAAAGCGGGTGGTAGGACGAGCGTGCCTCACGCTGCACCCGCAGGAGAAGTTCGGGCGCCCGGACCCGCCCACCGTGTTTGTTTGAGCCCCCTGAAGAGGCGACAGTGCATCACAGCACACGTCAGCTTTCAAACACGCGTGTCTCAAGGAGCAGCCTGTGACGCGGGCCAGCGTTCATAGTCCCGCGTGTTTCTGCGTGTGTCTTTGCTGCTTGAGATAAAAATAGACCCCCCCCCACCCCCGCGTCTCAGAGCGGCGGACACTCGACATCTCTGCCGCGGGAGCACATCCCGTGCTGTGTTGTGGTGGGGGTTAACGCTTCGCTCATCACAAGCTGACTGATGCCGACTTCTGCTCATTTACAGAAGCTGTTTTGAGCGGAGGAAGGCTGGAAGGCCGTAGGCATTTGGTTCCTGGGTTTGAAATGTGGGCCCTTAGAACGATCAGTGCAGCCCCCCAGCCCGGTTTCCGCGTGGATGCGTGTCCTCGTGGAGGGTGTGCGCGGACACACTGCCGCCTCCCGCAGTGGACGAGTCTCGGGTCACAGGCTCCCCCCATGTGTCTCCCCAGGGCAGCCCTGCCCCCCCCGTCTCCGGCCGGGAACAGCCCGGCCCTGGTGGGTGGTTACGCTCTGCACCTGCGTTTCGGTCTCTCCCGGTCCCGGGTGTCCCTAACTGCACGCTGCTCCACCCCTTTGAGCTTTGTAATCGTGGTACGGTCCACATCAGCGGTCCCCACCTCCTTGGCACCAGGAACCAGTTCGCTAGCTCACCCACCGCTCACCACCTGCTGGGTGGCCCGGTGCGGGGAGGGTGGCTGGGGACCCCCGGTCCACATGGCGCTTTTGAAAGCCTAGCCTGTGACGCCGACACCGTTGAAGAGACCCGCGCACATCCCGTGACTGGAGACTGGGCCAAGACACCGCCCGGCCCGTGGAAGCCCGCTGCAGAAACAAGGTGGCAGAGTCGGCCGTGTGCGGGGCGCCTGTGTGGGTGGCGTCTGGTGGTCTTCGGGGGAGGAGATGCCAGGTCCCTCTGCAGAGGTCCGCAGCTGCTGGCTTACCCACTGGCCGCAGGGCGGGGGACAGTTTCCTCTTTGGCGGGGGGGCATTCCTGGCAGCGAAGCTTCCTGTCCCCGGAGCAGGTGGCTGCTAGCGTTTCCCTTGCTGGATTCCGGGCTTACCTGGGACACGGGAACATTCGGGTAAAGGAGGGAGGGGTAGCTAGACCCACCTTGGCCTCCCCCCGCACTCCGTGTCCTGAGCCCAGGCGTGCAGCGTGGCCTGCACGCTGTGATTCCCTTGGGCGGCTGGACATCAGGGTTAGGGACGTACATGCCAGCCTGTTGGCGAAAGGCAACCGTGGGCCGAGACACGGCAGGCCCTCCCGCCCTGCAGCCCGCCTCTGCGCCCTCCTCGCCCTCCTCGCCAGACGCCCAGTGGCCCGGGTGTTTTCACCTGGTCCGGGCACTTGCTCACTCGCCCCTTGGGGTGGGGGGGCGGGGGCGGGCGCTGCGGCAGCTCCTCCTCCCGGGGTCCCGCCTGTCCGGAACCCGGACGCCCCGCTCCCAGCCACTGTCGGGACAGATAGGCTGCCTGCCGGGAGGAAGGTGCTAATTTTTTGTTAATTATTCTGGTTCATAGGGAATAATGGAGATGGATTTCCAAACTCAAAATTTATAAAATTCCAAAAGTACTTTGAATGAGCTCTTGTTGGTTTCAGTGTTTATAAATGTTATGTCTGTGAGCTTTGAGTCTTATTTCTAACAGAACCCCGAGTCCCAGCTTCCCGGTCATGGAGTTGTGGGGGAAAGAATTCAGAGTCATCCCACAGCCCTTACTACACGTTATTAGCCAGAGACTCAGAGAAAAGGGAGCCTCTAACCCCTAGCTAAAATTCATGACAAGGAATTGATAGATGTCTCCATTTCCCTCCTAGCCCACGGGGGGAGCCTTCAGTTTCATGTTCTCCCGCAGCTTCCTGTTCGTGGCCCGTGTCACTGCGTGTGGCTCACGCCGTCCTCGGGAGACGGCGCGTGGTGCCGGCACCAGGGTGCTCGATAGGTGTCAGCCCTGCCGTTGTCAAGGAAACTCACTCCATCTCATCCTCACCCGAGGACAGGCTCACTGGCTTTGAGAGAGAGGGGGAGGGTGAGAAAGAAACATTGGTCGGTTGCCTCCCGTAAGTGCCCTGAGCGGGACCGAACCCACAACCCAGCATGCCCAGCATGTGCCCCGACCAGGACTCGAACCCACAGCCTTCCCGTGGACGGGGCGGCGCTGCAGCCCCCGGAGCCACCCGGCCAGGGCAGGAGCACACCTTCCCACGAGCACCTGTGCCCGTGGGACATGCTGCCTGAGGTGACGTCCTGGGGACTTTCTCCCTGGGCCCCACGGGGGTGCCCCCCCTTGACAGAAACAGAACCAGACGCCCGCCTCACGCCTTGGGAAACGGGGTGTCGCCCGCCTGTCCCCGCAGCGCCGGACACCGCCAGGTCTGCTCGTTTCATACATCATCTCAGATTTGAAAAGCACGCGAAAATGTTTCTCCATTTTCAATATTGCGTGAGTAATGTTCCCATTGAGAAGTAATGGAGTGGAGTTGTCACTTGTCAGCGCAGTTATTAAGGAGGACGAGTCTCGATCCTTCTCTCGTGATGAAATAAATCTGTCAGGAGATCGCCGCTCACGGGTTCTCGTGCCGTCGAGCAGCGGGGCCTCGGTTGCGCCGTCCGCCCCGCTCGCCCAGGCCCTGGTGGGCTTCCGGTGGGGCTCCTCTGGGCGGGGTGCCCGCCGGTGGGCCGCCAGCCGTGCGGCCGGGAACCTGGCCAGCGTTGAAACCGCTCCTTTTCCCCCCAAGCACCGACTTACTATCAAAAAAGACACTTTCAACTTTACTTTCTCTTCCCATTTGTTAGTTTCTGTGCTGTTAAACCCTGGTTCGACTTGGGATTTGCTGTGCTCCCACCATGCAGAGGCAATAAAAGGAAACATTACCGGCACCTTGATAGGAGTCGGGAGCGTGCCGTCACGTTGCACAGCTGAGTCGCTAATAGAATTCTGTGCAACGCTTCAGACGTTAATTAAATGTGTGCGTTTGTGTCGCGGGCTTCCCAAACAAGCCGCGAGGAGCCCCTTTCTCCTCGGCTGGATTCACTGCATCTCCGGGATGTGTGTTCCTGTTGGGCGTTACTGTTCTGTATGGTCCATTGGTCTCCAGTAATTGAATTTTGAACTCTTTATAAAAAGAATTAAAAGATAATTTTGCAGGGGAAAAAGTTTAGTGCGTTCTCTGTGGAACGAGGCATCCGTGGAGATGGGAGAGCCCGCAGCCTGGGGGGGGAGGCGTGCGTGTGCGTGTTTGTGAGCACGCGTGCACGCACACCCCGCCTGCGGGCCCTGGGCCCGGGCAGACCTCGCGCCCCCGCCCCATGGACCGCGACCCCGACCGAGGGCTAACTCTGTTTTCGGTTTTGCAGTCTCGGAAAGGGAGCGACCCCGACAAGGAGAAGAAGGGCCTGGAGAGCCGGGCGGACAGCATCGGCAGCGGCCGCGCCATCCCGATCAAACAGGTACGCCCGGCCCCCCTCCCCCGCGGCCGCGGACACGCCCGGTACCCCCTGGCCCGGACGCCGGCCCGCACGCGCGCCGAGGTTGGTTTGATGTGCCGTTGATGAATGTGGAAGTCACTCACTTGACATCAATTAGAAGAGGTTCCCGTGTGCATTAACACGGGATCATTAGAATGAGAAGAGGGGAGACGTGGCGGCAACAGGCCTAATGAAGTGCGGCCGGCCCGCCCGCACGCGGCGCGCGCGCGTCGGCCTGAGCCGGCTTCAAAGGCCGCCTTTGTGGCCGGGCTTTGATTGGGCCGCGGGCCGCCGGGCGGCGGGGGTGGAGCACATCTCCGCACAAGAGCCCCTTGTGAGCCCGGGAAGAGCCCGGCGTGGCCCTAATTTGCTCGCGCAGACGGACATCTGAGCGCTGTTCCCGGCTCGTTTGTAACAACGAGGCAATTAGTTGTGATAATCATAGCCGGTGTGTCAGCTGTGCGCTCTTGTTTGTGATTTGCTAATGAAGGAATTGTAACTTTGATTAGGTTCAGTTTCATTTAGACCTTATTACATAAAGGAACATTTACAGCTGTAATGTGGGGCCTTAATTAAACTTCCTCATTACACGCGAGGACCGGCATCCGAGCATTTGTTTTGGCCTCGGCCGCCGGCCGGGAATGGGTTTTCATTAGCCCGGAAACCAGACACCGCATCCCGGTGTGCCGCCAGCAGAATGGGGCCTCACGTGACCTCGCTGGCTGTCGGGTTTCCAAGGAAAAGGGAGAGTGTAACCCGGCACCTCAGCTGCTGGAAACGTCACCTTTGGGTTCGCCACAGAGGGCCGAGTGGCTGAGACCGGGTCCTCCCTGGGAGAGGGAGAACCCACGGGCAGGACCCTCGCCCTGCGTCCCCCCCCCCCGCCCGGCTGGGGCCACGTTGTCCCCTGGGGCGTCGCTCCTGGCCAGACTCTCCGGCAGGTGCCCTGGCGAGTGTTCCCATGTTTCAGGAACTCGTGTGGGCGGTGGCCGCCCTCCTCAAGGGCTGGGGGGTCCTTCGGGAAGGCCTCTGGAGCCTGTGGGGGCAGGCACGGGCTGCAGTGCAGGGGTTAGGACCCTGTCGTGGCCGGGGGACTGGAGCAGGGAGGCCCTGGGGGTCCTTCCGAGCCCCTGTGCACAGGCTGGGCAGCTGCTGCGTGGACTGCCGCCCGGCCCCGTTAAGGAAAACCGCCTTCGTCCTCGTGGGGGCGGACGTCTTCGCGGGGTGGGGGGTCGTGCCCGGAGAGCCCCGAGCATGTGGTCGGGTATTCTTCTTGTGTGTGCGTATCGATCAGCCCCGCTCTCTGCCGAAGGTCATTGTCATGTGCAGCTTTCATGCTGCCGTTAGCATTTGCAGTGGAGTTACAGAAATCCTTGCCCTCTCCTCCTCTCCTGTAGTGGTTGACTCGGAGCCGTTGCCCTCGGGGGCCGTTGGAACCAAACCCTGGACTGCTTCCGTGATTCACGTCTGTGGTCGGTTGGGGTGGGACTCTTCAGGCCGTCGGGTCCCTGGTGTCCCGGGGGCCGTCCCTCGGTCTGTACCCTGCTCGTGCGTGCGAGGGGCTCGCTGTGCAGGCTCGGCTCCCCCTGCGGGGGGCGGGCACTCGGCCCTCGGGTGTGGAATGAGGATCGCCCAGCCCTCGGAAGCCTGTTAACTGTGAGTGCTCAGAGCAGTCTTGCCGAAAGCTGTGAGTCGCGGTGCGGGAAGCCCACATGGCTCCTGGTTCCTCGCAGCTGCCCCCGCGTGCCTGCGGCCACTGGCGGGCCCACCCCCTCGTGGTGGGCCCACGCCAGGCAAGGGCCCTGCCCGGGTCCCATGAAACGCTGGCGTGTGGAGACGCCAGAGGGAGTTCGTGAGCTCCAGCAAACCTGGGGCTTCAGACGAGGCGCACGCGGCGCTTCACCCGGGCGGTGCGGGTCAGTGCGGGTCAGTGGACAGTTGTGAAGATCTGTCTCACACTCGCGTGTGCCCCCGTTTGTGGAGGGGCCGAGCTCATCAGCGAAAGGCTGAGTCCGCTCCCCCCGTGGGGTGGCCTGGGCTTGCAGGAGTGAGGGTGGGTCGACGGGAGGGGCCGCAGGGCAGCGCTGCCCGGCGTGTCCGGGCGCCCAGCAGACGCCCAGCAAACGTAGCTCGGGCGAGGGAGCGATGAAAGGAGCTTTTATTGCTCATGAAACCCTTTGCCTGGAGCATCCTGTCGAATCGCAAACACGCCTAGGCTGGGCGGCTGTGGGTCCTGTACTTGGGGTTAAACCGGGCGGGTGAGCGGGGCCGGGACTGGGGCCAGGCCCTCCTGCCTGGGGCCCGTGCTCCCTCCACCCGCCGCTGGGCGGGCCGCCGGCGGGAGCGGAGCTGCGCGTTTAAAACACGGGAAGCCTGACCGCAGGCCGAGGTGCCCGTGTCTGTGCTTCTGCGGAAGAGCCGTCCACGGCTGTCTGTAGGAGCCGCCTCCCCGGGGACCCCACAGCCTCGCTCGTCGGCCCCTGGGGGGCGTGGGGGGGTCATTTCATCCCTCGGGGTGTCCGCCGCACCGGGGCCCTGCCCTGCTGGCTGGCCGCGGAGAGAGCGTGTTGTCCTGATGCTCCGCAGGCTGCAGTCGCGGCCTGGGTGCCGGGGCCCCGCACAGCCGCCTGCCCACGGGTCCTTCAGAGCCTCGGCGACCTCTGTGGGGGTGGGGACGGGGTCGGCGTCTGGGCTGGGCTGGCCGGTAGTGGTGACCACGGCAGAGCCTTGCTCTCCCTCCCTGTGGGAACCTGGCTTAGGACACAGATGAGGCCTGGCGCGTCCCCGTGACCTTGGTTCCCCGCACCCCCCCCCCCGCCCTGCACACTCACAGCCTGCTCATTGCACGGACAGGACCCCCTCGTCTGGGGGCTGTGGGGTCACAACATGGGCAGGGGCGTCGGCCTCCCCTCTCTCCCCAGTCAAAGGCTTTTCATCAAGGAGATGACTTATTTTCTGCAAAATAACTTCGTTTCTGGAGGGCCTGGGTCCACCTCCTTTTTTTTTTTTTTTGGTCCTTCCTGAGGCTTTAGAGGAGATTTGGTCCAGACAGTTTTTTTTTTCTTAATAATAAGATAGGGTCTGCCAGAATAAAAACGAAAAAGCAAAGCAAGAAAAATAAAAAGCCAGAGGCCCGGCCCGGCGGCGCGGCCTGTCACGTATGAATTTTTCATTGCTGCGGAGACTTGTACATACATAATCGCCTGATTGCGGTGGGAGCTGGGGAGCTCCCGTGGTGTCATTTGCATAAATCTTGTTAAGTCAATGGCAGTTAATGAAGTACAAATGAGCCCGGAGAAGGTGACATGCAAGCCGTGGGTGGCAGATGGGAGGTCTGTTTGCGGGACGGCAGCTGTGTGCTCTCCTTTCTTCCCTTCCCTTCCGCGGTTTTTAATCTCCGTATTGTTGGACGGGCCCCCCGCTTCCCGCGCTCAGACTCCGGGCCAGAGCCAGGCCCCCCGCTCCGGCCCCGACACCCCGACGCCGGCCCGGCCCCTCGGAGAGCAGCAGACCGAGGGCCGGGCCTCCCCGCCTCGCTCGTGCTGACCCGTGCCCCAGAGGGTCCGCGTCACTGACGGCTCGCTCAGTGTGTCTTGTCCCGCTTACACAGGTGTGGGTTTTGGGGCTTTTTTTTAGATTTGACGAGGGAAAATAAGAAAATGCCACTGAATTTTTTTTTAAACCCTCACCCAAGGACATGTTGACTGACTTTGGGGAGCGCAGGGGTGGGGCGGGGAGGAGAACGAGGGAGAGCATCGCTCGGCGGCCCCTGGTCGGGGCGTGCTCGAACCCGCAACCCAGGCACGCGTCCTGAGCTGGAGGCGGCCTTGCGGCCTTCCGGGGTGTGGGGCGGTGTCCCGGCCAACTGAGACCCCTGGCCAGTGCCCACGGCATTCTCTTAGGCAGGGTGTTCTCCCGTGGGGGATTCCTGAGTGAAAATGAGTAGAAAACGCTCTTTGCTGTGCTGCTGTTTGGGAGTCTGTCCTCCCGTAAGGCAGGCGGTGGAGGTCATCCAGCTGTCGTCCGCGTCCCGAGTCCCTGCGCGGCCGTACGGGGCGGTGCTGCCCGGGGCCGGCGTGGCGTGGGGGGGCAGGCGGCCTTCGGCTGCAGCCAGGACCCCTCGCCAGGAGCGCAGACCCCGCAGGAGGACCCTCCACAGGCGTGTCTCGGTCAGGGCTCGCGTGTCACTTGCCTGGTGGTTTGGTTGTTTTAAAAGACGCAAGCGCCCGCAAGACTCACTGGGAGCTCTTAGAGATTTGTGGGCAAAGTGCTGCACGGGCTTACTGCTTGTCTCCTCATTCGGTCGGTGCTTGGAGGGAGAGAGACCTCCGTCGGCGCTGGAGAAACCCCAGCAAAGAGGGGTGCACGGAGCGATGGGAGCCACTCGGTTCCCCCACTCCGTCGGTTCTCGCTTTGCCACGCCAGGGCGCACGCTCTGCGACCTTGGGCCCTGCGCGTTCCACGGCGGACCAGGTGAGTCTGCGTCCCTTCGGGATGCTCCGTGATCTCCATGGCTTCACAAGACTTCTTAGGGTCTCAATTTTGACCTTGAATCCGGACGTCACGGCCACCTCCAGAGTGCACAGTCAGAACAGACGTTTCTTAGCAGCAGCCGCCTGCACCATGGGAAAACCCTTCCCCGGGCAGCACGGGGAGAGCCAGCCAGGGTGGAAGTTTCTGGAAGCACTTGCCATTGCTCTGTGCGAGGTTTTGAACCCCTGTGCAGGGGTTCGATTCTCAGTTGAGTGGGAGGAAGCAACTGTTGATCGAGCACAGGGCACCTCTGGAGTTAGTCTCTGAGGCCGTGGCCACAGGGCGCCAACCTGCACTGTCTGGAACCCGGGCCCCACGCAAGGGGGTGGGTTGTACGGTGTCAGCAGACGAAAAGCCACCCGACGACACTCGCTTTGACGCCTCCTGAAAGCCGGGCGTCGTTCGCAGCCGGGCGGTCGGCTGCTCAGCTGCTGCGTGCTCTCGTGGTG